TTAATAGTATATAAATAGGAGAGACCGTATTTTTTAATTAATTATAATTAGATTATTAATTCATACATTCGTTCATAATTGTAAAGTTTATACACCAGTTATATTTTAATATATTATTATAAGTAAAGTGCATTTTAATTGTTGTTAATGGAAATATATGGAAGATAATTATAATTCAACACTTGTTATATAGTGTGATCAATAAAATTTGCCCAGTAACCAAGAACCCTTTTTAAAAAGGCCAACTTCACATCATTGATATAACAAATTTGGCGCAGTCGGTAGGATAGAAAAAAAGAAAACAGAAGAAAAAGGAGCTCCTAAAGAAAAAGAAGTTCCAAAAAGTAAGAAATAAGAAACTACCTCATCTATATATATAAGAAAAAGAAGAAGTCAATACTACTATAAAATTGGAGGAAATCCAAAGAAGTTTAAGAAATATACGAAATAAATGTAAGTGAAGTTCTTTATTGTTAGACAAAGCTTTTATATATTTAGTAATATAATTTTTAATAACGATATTAAAATTTATTATTTTTATTGGTGCTATTGAATTAATATTTCTTAATAAATAATATTTAAATAAGGTTTATAAAATGGCTGAAAATGATGTTGTTCAGGAAAATTTTCCATTATACAAATTAACTGAATTATTCGCATTAATTCCGGAGTACGATGGAGATCAATTAACTTTAGATTCTTTTGTTTCATCTTGCAATACATCTTTTCAAATTTGTACAGAAGAACAAGCGGTTCTGTTGACTGTTCACATTAAGAATAAATTAAAAAATAAAGCATCTCAGGTGGTGAATTCAAAATTTCTAACCACTTGGAATAATATTAAAGACACATTACTTGAAAATTTCGGAGACACAAGAAATCTAACTAGTTTAGATCATGACTTACAGACCTTAAAACAAAATAAAGAAACTCCAATGCATTTTGTTACACGAGTACAAGGATTAACTTATAAAATACATAGCTCTATTAATCGACAAAATAATTTGACTAATGAACAAAAAATATCACAAAGAAATTTAATAGATAAAATATCTTTAGACATTCTAGACTAGAACCGGGACTAGGACAAATTATACGTGCATCTAATCCAGAAAATATTCTTGACTGTATTCAAAGAATTACACGCGAACAACTATTCCAAGTTGAAAATAATGTTAATACTTTCCAAAAGTGCCAACCTCGTACAAATTTTCAAAGAAACTCACAAAATAGTTTTCAACCTAAGAAATTTAAAAATCAAAGACAATTTCAAAATTATAATAATATACCATTCCAAAACTATAATAATAATTATCCTAATAATAATTTTCAACAAAATAGAAACCCTAATCAGAATTTTAATCAAAGATTTCAATCAAGATTTAATAATCCAAATCCAAACAATAATAACAGTAATAACACTAGTTTACAAGAGTTTCCTCATTGAACGAAAACTACTTTTTCTAAGGTAAAATTTTGTGCTGATTCAGAATATCACAGTGGTTTTCCTGGTTTAGCTCTAGATTTCAAGATTCGCATGAAATCTCGAAAAAATGCAATGTTACAGAACATTGAATCACAAAATTTCAGCTAAAATTGATATTTAATATTAAATAATCCCAAATTTTTATAGCTATAAAAAGGAAAGTGTAATAAAAATTTTAAGGTGTAAAACTTATAAATTACATTAGTTCTTTGGTCATTATGACCAAAAACAGGTAAAAAAATCTAGAGAATTTAATTACGAAAATGTTACGATGAGATTTAGATTTTATACGGTCAATTTTTTAAAGTAATGTAATGTAAGTACTTTTTTACATAAATTAAATTTAATAAGAGAAATAAAATTATAGGGTGCCAGGAAGTGGTTATTTAAATGTATTTATTTGACATTTCAGTTGTCATTTAGAATATAAATGGTTTATATTGATTTTAGTTGTCAAAAGATTTTAAATATTTATATTTTATAGTGTTTGTTTGTTTTTGTTATTGTGTTTTGTTGTTATTGTGTTTAAAATGGCCAGTAGGAAATTTGCATGTAAAAATGACCCAGATTTGTTTAGTTTTATATGCGGACACTATATTATTGAAAAAAAAAGGTAGAAAAATAACACCAAACCTAAAGATTGCATATTTACATTATTTTGGTTTTGAAATAAGAAATGAAGAGAAATCTTGGACACCAAATTGCAACATAACGTTGAAAAACTGGATGTCTGGAAAAAACGTTTATTTGAGTTTTGGCTGTCCAGTTTTATGGGCAGAACCAGTGGATCACTTAGAATGTTACTTTTGTGTGATAAATATTACTGGTATAAACTCAAAAAACAGAAGATCTCTTTAGTATCCAGATGTTACTTCAGCGAAAAAACCAGTTCTACATGATGAAAATCTAACAAAATCAAAACATCCTTTAAGTTATAAGTCATAAATGACAAATCAAACAAAAACGAACCTAGTTTTGATACGTCTTTTTCTGAAAATGAATTCGATACAGAAAAAAACATGATGTAACACAAGCCGAATTATCAAGACATTTCCATTGGTTAAGGCGCGATGCTAGCACTTCACTATCCCTTTTCGACAACTTAAGGTCCCTAATTAAATCATTTGGGCTTATTAAGACTTATTTGTTGAAAAAGACACATTCCTCATTATAAATCACTAAAATAAACAAAATCTAAAATTAAAAATAAATGTTTATGAAAGTAAATTAAATAAAAAAATAAAATAAATAAGAAAAAAATTTAAAAAAAATTGTAATATTATAAATGATAAAAAATGTTATTTCTTCAAAAAATGTACCGTATATAATCTAAATCTCATTATATATTGACGTACGTATGCTTAAAATTTTCATAATTAAATTCTCTAGAATATAGGGGGACTAACTTTTTATATTCCAAAATATTTTTTGATATACAGTGGACCAACGTTGAAAAAATTGAAAAAAAATCGGAAAATAGTGATTTTTTCTTACCTATTTTTGGTCATAGTGACAAAACCACTAATGCGATTTAGGAGCTTTACATCTTAAAATTTGTATTAAACTTCAGTCATTAGAGCTATAAAGATTTGGGATTGATTTGATATCAAATAAAATTTTAGCTGCATTTTTGTGATTGAATATTCTGTAACAGTGCATTTTTGCGAGATTTTATGCATAACCCGAAATCTAGAGCTAAACCAGAAAAACTACTATTATTTTAGGAATCAGTACAAAATTTTACCTTAAAAAAAGTGGTTTTGGTTAAATGAGGAACAACTTTATCAAATTTTGTAAACTAGTGTAATTATTCAAATAATCGCCCAAGTGTTATTCAACAAAATCCCAATTATAGAAATTTAAGTATCGACTCAAATAAAAATAAAAATTCTTCTATAAATTCTTTAAACTCGCAAAGAACCCGAGATGTAACTGGTCCTCGTGGTCAAAATCCAAAACCCAGTACCAGCCAAATGAACAGAGAATTCGAGAGTATGTCATTAATGTAAATAAAGAGGTAACAGAAAAATTATATTTTATTTATAGTAAAAATAAAACCTTAAAATTTTTAGTAGATAGCGGAGCTAGTATTTCAGTTATTAAACCTAATGTAGTACACTCAGAAAAATTTCGCATTGTATAAATAAATGGAAACCATTTCATAATGATTCAATACAGAATGTTAAAACTTTAAAGGGTTAAGTTATGAATTTATATTAAAGTATATTTGTTTTATATCCGTTCTTAATAATTTAATGTTAAATTTCTACTTAAGTTTTGTAACGGCATTATATTTTTGTTTTTACAATGTAAAACATTTAAAAGTAGGCAGGCATTTTTGTTTCAATCGGACGGTAATTGGTTTAAAGACGCATAGATTTAAACCTAAAACCACATAATATGAAACGAAAGAAATACCTGGTGTTTTTTAAATGAAATTTTTTTATTCTATTATGTTTATAAATTTAATTTAACAATAATAATTTATGTTTGTTTCAATGTGAACAAAGTATTGGATTTTTTTACTTAAATTATTGATGCCACATACTAATTATCACCAGAAACATTTTTGTTTAAAAAAAATGTTTATTTCTTTTTATTGCGTATTTCGTATTATGAAGTGCGGTACAGTGGTCAGTTGTGGTTGTGCTCTACATTGTGTGCCTGACGCTTCGCGCTTCGAATTTGCAATTGTTTTGGGTATTACCCAATGGGTTTTTTATTTTTGTTGTACATATGTCTATAAAATCATACGTAGGTAATTATGAGAACAATAAAAGATATTGATAAAAACTGAATTTAAAATGTGTCGATACTTCGATACCAGGGGCGTTCTCAGATGTATGACCGCTTGCGTGTTGTTTGAAAATTGGGTGTATTCAAGAGAATGCCTAAATTTGAAAATTGGAAAGAAACTAACTAAAACAAAAAAAAACAACAATTTATTGTATTGTTTAAAAAAAAGAAACATAAATAATTGATAAATGTATAATTTGTTATAAATATTAAAATCTTTAACAAAAACTATATAATTAAATATAATACTTTTGGGTGTAAGTTTACTTCTTATACAATGTGTTCCTTAATGATGTGTCAATATTTCAGGGTGTATTTTCTCAGGGCATTTTATAAAGAGAAGTTTATATAAACATATGTCCTAATAAAGCAAGTTAGGATATACGTTTATTTCTTCATAAAATGACTTGAGAAATTACATCCTGAAATATTAGCATGTATAAATGGCTAAGGTTCAGTCTATATTAATCATATCATCATTATCAGTCGTTGGTTTAAATGTGTACACTTCTTATTTACCAATTTTGCGGACTACATTTAAGGGTACTTTATAAGCCAAAACATAGCCAGAACATATACAAAAAGGAATTTCTTAAAATTATATATATACTGCGCATATATAAAAACATAACATTGTTATCGACAGTTGCTCTGAAACTGAAAAGTTTGTAACAACTATATTAGATTGAACCATTTTTGTCTTGTTTCTTATATAGACTAAGAATAAAAATGGACGCCGGCGACACCTTTAATATATTATATAATTTAAAAAGTGTTACACCCCTGGACATTTCGAACGAAGAGCTGAGTAGTGTATCAGTAATAGTTACAAATCCAGTTGTTCCTATAACATAAGGTACAAATCCAATTGTTCCTATAACAGTCGCCGAAGACCTGGAGTCTCTTTTAAGGTCGTGGAACCTATTAACATTGCTGTCAGTTCTACAAAGTAAGTTTCAAAATATGCTGCTCATTAAGGCTATTTTAGCAGCGTTATCCGCCTTTTTTAAATTATATGGGTTTGTTTAAATTTGGAACACATTTTTTATAAATAAAGCTCCATCACTTTATGCATACCCACTAGCCAGGTAAGTCACCACAAAATTTTGGAACATTATGGCAAAAATCAACAACAAGTTGATTTAAAGGCAAAAGATATATCTGAAAAAGCTGATTGCTGGTTTGCTACAAACAAACTAAAAATTAATAAGGATAAAACCGAAATACTTACATTTGGGACACATGAAAATCAAATGGTAAAGTTCCTTGGGATCTATATAGACAGCCGACTTAACTGGTCTTGCCATGTAGAAAAGACTTGCAACAAAATCTCAAAAAATATATACTGCCTTAGGAGGTTAAAAACCATTGCAACTCTAAATATTCTTAAAACTGCTTATTTTGCTAACATTCAAAGCCTACTTATGTATGGAATTATTATATGGGGAAGATCATCAGCTGCAAATAAAGTTTTTATTCTACAAAAAAGAGCAATAAGAATAATTTATAACTTGAACCACGATGAAACATGTAGGCCATGGTTTAAAATGGAAACAATACTTACATTAACTTCTATATATATTTTTGAAAGTCTTAAATATGTATATTCAAACTTAAGCAACTTTAACACAAACGGAAAAACCCATAATTTTGCCACAAGAAACCGAGATGAATTATTAATCCCACTACATATTAAGAAAGCCACACAGCAATTCGTGGATTACTGGGGAGTAAAATTTTACAATAAACTTCCTAAAAAAATAAAAACATTACCAAGAAATCAATTTACCAAGTCAATAAAATGCATACTTACCACTGGTGCATTTTACACTGTTGAAGAGTTCCTAGAGTGTGATATCTCAACGCTATTGCTCGAATGTTAAATAATTGCGGTTTTAAATCAAAACAATAAACAATGAGTTTTTTTTTATACTACTTCCAGCTATTTTAATGTTTATAATGTTTTTTGTATTAATTGTATTTATTGATTTTAATTTGGATATACACTGTGTTTACTTATTAATTATTTATTGTACCTATTATGTTTTATTTTATTGTAACTTGAAATTTTTGACTAGTCATGTAACATTTTTTTGATGACAATAAACTATTCTATTCTATTCTATTCTATTCATTATTTTCAAAAACAAAACATGGGAAATACCAAAAAACGACCGTTACAAAAAATTTACCATTTTTCTAATTTATTTTCAACAATAAAGCTCTAAAATTTTGTGGTCACCTAAAGTTATACCTGGCACGTATGCACATAAACTGATAACGATCTTTTTTTAAAATAGCATTAGAAATTTGAATAAACACGTATGATTAAAAAAATTGCGGAAAAACTGCGAAAACAGCCTTAAAGTTCAAGTATATTATATTTCTACCATAACTGAGGTAAAGCTATTTTTCTTCTGTTAATTATTTAGAAACCACATTATTTTATTTAGATAAAAATTGCCTTTTTAATATGACAGCACATTCAACAGCTAATCTACATGTTTATTTACTTATTTATATTTTAAAAATGTTTTGCGATTATTACGGGAATAAATAAATATTTCTTCATATAGTGGAATTACATACAGGAGCCTACAATATTTATCGAAGGACGATATTAGGGACGCTATTTATGATATTGGCCTACGAGCAGAGTTTCGTGAAAAATTATTCTTGTGGAGAAAGCAAGTGAAGTAAAGATAAATCTCGTAGTTCAAATAAATAAATTATTATTATTTATGTATTTTAGTATGACATCGATGACGATACCATCACATTTGTGTCGTCATTTGCTGGTAGAGTGAAGACTTGGCTGCAAAATACAAGTGGTTTGTAAAAAGAAGTCTCGCATCAAAGTTCATCTAGTTCTGCCAAATCTACTTCTAAATCATCAAAGGTATATGGTGCAATTCGTTTATTATATGTGAATTCGTACAACCTTTACAAACTTACCTTGTTTTAGGGTTTATGTGATATTTTAAATGAATCTCATAAGGGGAAATGTATCCAAGAATATTATAAACAAAATTTCACGTTGGACAAAATTCATCGTGATTATTTAGTCTCGATAATTCTGGAAGACGTACATTACAACGGCCAGTGTTTAGCACCGAAAGATTATCCCTTTATTTTGAATAAATATGTAAAATGTAAGTTTAGATTGATTGTAAAAGAATACTGTTTTTTTTTGTTTTTGTTTCTTTATAACTAAAAAGTTGTGGTTCAAATATATTTTGCAATAAAAAAAATCATTCACAATTTCGTATTATTAATTACTACCCCAATATCCTCGTCAAATAATCATTGCAAGTGCACATTAAATTGATCATATCTATTTTTGATTTATAGCATAGTGGCCATATTTTAATGGTAAAAGTGTGGTCAAAATAAACCAAAACCACATTAAAGTAAATAGACCCATTTTTAATTTAATATTTTGTAATAATAGCAAAGCTTATTGGCCATAAATTAATAGTAGTGATGCAGTTAAAATTAATCAACATCATATTAAAATAAATAGTCACATTCTTAATATATTATCTGTCGATTTTAAAACAAATCTTACTAATAATATTTTAATGGTAGAAGTGTAGTCAAAATAAATTAACGTCATATTAAAGTAAATAGTCCTATTTTAAATTTAATAATATATGTTTTTAAAACGATGTTTAAAATCAAAATAAATGCTAATATATTACAAATGGGAATTACATTCATTCATTGCCTTTAAAATATTGATTTTAACAGACCTACATTTGTTTTGATAATGAACCCTATATTGTATAAATTTAAACACGGCTCTTAACAATATAATGTCATCTCCGTTTAATTTTTAAGTCACAAGCTTTTGATGTGTTAGTGGTCATGTAAATTCAAATAAAAATCTTAATGACGCTAAAACATATTTGAATTTATTTGATTTAATGCTATATTTTTTTATTTTACAATGGTTTTTCTCTAAGTGTAGGTAGCTTTATAAAAAATAAAGAAAACATAATTTTGCAAGGTATAACCAATGAAACAATTCATATTACGGAATCGTTTGATTTCCCCTTTTTCTCACAGTTACCAAATAAAAAGATTAAATGTTTTGTAGGTGATTTAAATATAGAATACGATGGTATTCTAGGTATAAACTTTTTAGAAACATATGAATGTTCTCTTGATTTTAAATAAAATAAATTAATTACTCCTTTTGTTGCACTAGATTTAATTAAAAATAGTATAAATGATTTAAATGACAATAATGCAAATTCAGAATCTTGTTCGGTTGAACAATATGAATTTGATTATTCGATTAAGATAAAAAATGATAAAATAAATAAAAAGGTCATATTAAAACCCGAATCTTGTTCTGTTGAACATAAGGTATTAAAAGACTTAAATAATTTTTTAAAGATTAAAAGAGACGACTCAAAATCCTCCCGGACGAACAATTCGGATTTAGGAGCGGACACTCCACAGGACAACAAACCCTCCGACTAGTTGAATCCATATATGAGGCAGCCTCCCACAAAGACCCCGCAGGGCTGGTTCTCTTAGACGTCAAAAAAGGCTTTGCGTTTTTCGCTTCGTGCTGACTAAGACTTATCTGGTGACCAGATTCTGGTCCAGTTACAATGTATTTTCCCTATGGTTAGCTTGCAAATGAAGGTACGGTATATATATATATATATATATATAATATAATATAATATCAATAATACTTTATAAAGTAGTATTTGATACTATTTGGCCTAGGCTAGTAATTTTTAATGCATTTATATGAGCAACTATGTATTTTTTAAACAAAAAATATTTTAGGATTTGAATGAGTATCTAAATAATGATGGGTCAAATATTAAAAAAGCAGCAAATGAAAACAAAGGAATTTTGTCGGGGGTTTGTAGGGATACCTTAACACATGTGTTGCAAGATGTTGCAAGATGTAGTACGCCATTATGTAAACAGGAATATGTTTATGCATGAAGATGATTTTAATAAATTGGCTGAGGATATATGTAATCTTTTTCCGCTGGAATCCAAGGTAATTCTTTAAAAAATAGTTCACAAGTTTGTTATTTCTATGCTTCTCAATCGATAACTAACATAAATTAATTTACAGGGTACTTCTACAGTAAAAACATGCCATGTGGAAAACTGTATTATGCTTACAAGAACACTGTGGCAAAACTTAGAAAAGTAAAAAAACTGTTTGTTTACATCAGCCCAGTAAGCTTACCAGTAAATTATTCAATACAAACTCATGCTTTGTATAAAAATACGCCTAAAAAACATCAAAATTAGGCCCTTGCATAGTTGATACTACATTAATATTATATATTGCTTCCTTTTGACACACCCTCGTTTTTTATACAGTACCTTAGGGTACTATACTAAAAACAAAATAAAATTTGCGTTTTTTTATATTTTGCTGCAGGTACAAGAGCTCCATCAGATGAAAAAATTTGGCCTAAATATCATTCTGAACCCTGGCTTATTGTTGAAGAAAAGTGGAATGCAACAGTGAATCAGAGAAAGGCAGAATTTAACTCCTGTGATCAAACAAACATAACTTCACTGTTAGCTGGATGGCCAGCCTACATGAAAGAAAATGGCCAGAGACTGGTATGTTAATATTTCTGATTTTTTTTTGGTTTAAATACTAACTATACTTCTACATAAAATACAAAAGTGCAAAAATAATTATTGTATCGGCCACAAAAATCATTGTTTAGTAAGCCAAAAATTTACTTTTTTATAGATTACTTAATTACTTATTTATGGCATTACCTAATTAAGTATTTAAAATTATTTTATTACAGATTGATATTGATTTCGATTCGCAATTCACTGGAAGAATTAACAAATTGCATGAAAAGTGGGGAGATTTCGTGGTCCAGATTATTCCATACTTTAAGAAAAACATCAAGGACAAACCTAGTTTAGAATTATTAAAAGGACTTCAAAATCAAGACCTAAACGTTGGTAAGTAAAATAATCAACTATTTTGATTTTTTTTCATCGACTTGGATATTTAGTTTAAAAATTGGCAAAAATTTAATTAACAATTTTTTTTTTACAAATTATGCATGCTATAACACCAAAGACCTATAATTAACAAAATTATTTTTATTTTAGACGCACGAGACATTTTAATATTTAAACTGCTGCATGCACTGTGTCATCCCGTGGGAGTGGTTAATTCAAAAGATAAATCCAGGAGGTGGAAATTTAGTATATTCGACAGCCAGCATTTTAGTCTATTAGAGGTAGCTTCGTTTTCTAATTATAAGGCAGCTATAGAGCAACTAAAAAATCTTTTGCTAAATTTTAATCTTACTCTACAGCCCATCCTTCTCATAGTAGGGGATGTAGAAAAAGAGATTGAAGGAATATACTGTGTTTACGACAGTATTATCTATAAATTTGACAATTTTATTGAGGCATTGTCAGTAACTTTTAAAATTCACTATGTTTTTAATTTAAAATACCAAGTACAATCCAAAGTATTTTGTATTTTTATTTAAGTTTCACAGAAAAAAACCTTGGTATAATTAGATAATATATACTGTCTGATGAGAAATTTATTGGATTATATGTGTATTTTTTTGGATTTAGATAAAGCAGTAGTCTAATTTGCAAGATACATTATACACAAGAAACATTTTTTTCTTCTAACACAATATTTTCTTATTCAGATTAAACCTAATTTAAATTAGATTATACAATTTACTAATAATTAAAAACACACGAAACGTTCGTTTATGTTTAATAATCTTAATTGTGTGGTTTAAACAAAAACCTAATTATTTTTAAAACAAGTTTTATTTAGTACTAAAGGCATTTTTGTGTAGACTTAACAAAAAACTTGTTTGATTGAAACACAATCATGTGCTTCACACATTTTTTTAATAGAACAGGTAATTATTTAATTTAAAATAACCAAAAAACCTGTAGATTCGCAATTGTAAAGTTATTTAACTTAAATAAGTTTTTAAGTACGTTAGCAATTTAAAAAACATAACTTATGTATTAGAAAAAATATTTCGTTATATTACAATCCCTGCCCTGGACAATTTATTATTATGCTTAGCAAAAAATAATTTCTAAGACAGGGCGTTGTCACCTTCTTTATCTCTGGTCGTTGTTTGGACTGGTCGCTTTCATAGTGTCCAGAGGCAGTACCTATCAGTGTTGCCAACCGTAGCGGAATTCCGCTACGCATAGCGGAATTTACCCCCAAAAGCGGCGTAGCGGCGGTGGAACAAAATGATGGCAAAACGTAGCGGAATTTAGTTTTTTTTAAATACGTTTTAGTAAAACATTTAAAACACTAATTTTTTTTCTTATATTGATAGTTTGTTCTGTTTGTTTATTAAAAACATTACTTTTAAAAATATTAAAATAGTGTTTTTCTTAAAAATTTCACACAATACACACACAAGATATTTAATAAACGTAATTTTTAACTTTCGGTCTCAATCGACTAATGGCGTTTCAGAAAACAGTGAGACTAATGAAGGGTTAAAATCTTTTGTGCTTAGCTTTATTTATAGATTTTCTTTCGTCCTTTCTCCCGCCCTCCCGTAAAATGCTATATATAGCCGCCGTAGGATTTATAAACGCTACCGCGGCTTGCGTATTGTTTATCTTTTACGGGCGGCCGGGACTTCCAGCGTTAGAATATTTTTGTTTTATATAGGGATTTTTTGTTACCTGTTTTTTATATTTATAAAGTACTTGAAGAAAGTATTTTGCTTAACATTTCTTGTCTTTATTTGCATTAAAAAAAATTGTATCCAAAGTTTGGATTCCAAACTTTAAGCCAAAATAGAGCGGGTGTAGCGGAATTAGGATAGATTCGGCTGTAGCGGAGCGTAGCGGAATTTTGATATTGTTGTAGCGGTATTTGTTATTTTCGAGTTGGCAACACTGGTACCTATAAGTTTTTAGTTTGCATGGTGAACAGTGGGTAATAATGGAAGAAACAAAACAAATATTAATTGAGTGGGGCCTCGAAGAACTCGTGGAAGATTTTGTGTAAGTAAATTTCAATTTTATTCCGATAATTATTATAATTTTACGACCAATGCAATATATTCTACAATATATTCGATAAATGCAAAGTTTATGGATTCTAACTTTTTGTAAAATTAGGCTATATTAAGCGGTTTGTTTTGGTGTTTCTAATTTTATTTTAAAACAAAAATGGTATGTGTGATGCTGGAAATATAAATCGAGGCCGCAACAAAAAAGTTTTGGAGGTTAAATGTGGAAACCTATATTAAAATGGCGTCCAAATTAATTTAAATACGAAGTGGCTCCCGTCCCGAGGCAGGGAAATACCCTACCGAATCTCGTTAAAGTAATAAATTTACGACGATTATTTTTTCTGACAGATGCCAGTTTGTGTTGTTTATTTACCTGTTTGTTTTATCGTAACAAAACAAATCTTAAAATTATGACGTCACTCTGGACTGAACTTAAGTCCCGCCTCGGGACGGGAGCCACAGCGATTTAAATATCCTGAAAACCGAATTTGTAGTAACTGCAATAATTAATAGAAATCATGAAAGGAAATTTTGGTGATTGGTTTTAATAAACAAAAAATGCAGAAATGAGCAATATTTTAAATATTTGTAGAAATGATTATTAGTATTTTGCGCCCTATATTAAATAATATAGGCTTTAAAAATGTTCATATTGGGCAATAATAGTATATTACAGTGGCGGCTCCTGACCATTCATGAAGGTGCGGCCCATGAACCGCTATATGGCGCCGCAGGCAAGGTTTTTTGAAATTTTCAAGGTTAAGCACTTCAGAATCTAAATAAAAAAATATATATTATTTAAAAATATGGTCTTTCACGAGAAGAATTTTCAAAATTTAGCTAGAATATTACAAAAAGTGCGGGATGAGGTGGGATTTTTATTTATTCCTTCAGCAGATTTCCACATTACCCAGGAGGTACTGCTCATTTTTACCTATCTTAAAATAATTATTTTTAGGTTAATAAAGGCACAACCCCACCACAACAACAAAGGCTAAACAATTTTATTAAAACTGTTTATTAACAATGTGGAATAATAGAAAGTACGTACAAAATGCAAGTCGCCATTTTCTAATTAAAAATTGACCACGTTGCACCGTCCTCTTCTGATTGGATGGAAATACATACATAGCAGTTAGACATGATATTATTTAAACTTCAAATTTCATTAATGTTTTTGTTAAGTAAGGTACTATAAGTTATAAGTAGGTATAAGCTTTGTTAAGTTTCTGTTCGAAATAAAAAAAAACATTTTTTACATAATATTGTTTCAGTTATATTACCTTTCAATTTTCATTTGGTGTAGGTAGATCCCAAAAATGACCGCACTCTACCCAGAATGTGATTGATTATAAATGTCTTTCCCACCCCCCGTTTAACTTTTTTATTTATGTTTGGGAAAAAATTTCGAAATCAAAGGTTTTTAAATTAAATCAAATGCTTTATTGTCATACCAGAAAGCAGGTTTCATACAGACAAAGTACTATAGTATAGTTTGCTGTAATTTATTTAGAATACTTTATAATAAATTACTATATATAGTAATTTATTATAAAGTATTCTAAATAAACCACAGCAAAAGATTCATATACTAGGTATTGTAGAAAGTCTGGCGTGGTCCTATTTTTTTTATTTCAAATCCATACCCTATTTTTTTATTTGATTTTTGCATTCTTCTAGAAATTCTAGATTTTTAAAGCATACCCTATACCTATAACATACTTATATAAAAAGATACTGACATGAGAAATTAGTCCTTTCTGATATATCATAATATATATGTATAACATTTCGGGGAGATTGCAAAAATAAAATATAAATATAATGTACTAATTTGAAATAAGAAAAGAGGACCATCCGGACTTTCTAAGATCACCCTGTATATATAAAAAAATTAAAATCCATTTTAAATTACTTACTTTTGATTATATGTAGGTATATGACATTGTTTTCCTTAACATCAAATAAAAAAGTTGGGAGAGAGGGACATTTATAACCAATCGGCAATAACCCTGTACCTACATAAAAACTTTGTCTAGGTACCCAAGTGTACTTATCTACCCTAGCAAATTCCTTTTTTCGTGATTAAGTAAAATAATTGCATTATTCATATGTTTTCAGTTACAAAATTTTCTTTTCTATAGTACATAATATTTTATTTGGAAGAACTAACGACTTCTCTTTAAGAGCAAAAATGTTTATCAATTCTTGATAATTAATATTATATAAATTAAATAATATGGTTATTTATAACCCAAGTGTACTTATCTACCCTAGCAAATTCCTTTTTTCGTGATTATGTAAAATACTTGTCTAAGCGCATTATTTATATGTTTTCAGATACAAAATTTTCTTTTCTATAGTATATAATATTTTATTTGGAAGAACTAACGACTTCTCTTTAAGAGCAAAAATGTTTATCAATTCTTGATAATTAATATTATATAAATTAAATAATATGGTTATTTATATTGGGTAAAGCAATTCTAGTAAAAATATTTCGATAAGGTAAATAAGGTTTTGGCTGTCCCTACAGTGCTTAAGTATTTTGTCTAATCTATACAAGTTTTTTTTCTGTGTAATGAACCGAATCCTGAAACAAAAAGAAAAGGCCGTTGTGGGCCATGTGGACGCAAAAAAAATGTGACCACGACAATGAGATGCGACATATGTAATTCATTTGTTTGCAAGAAACATGCAACTAAAAAAATTGTCTGCGAAAAATGTACCACCGAAGTAGCTGAAACGGATAGTGACGGATTTAATTATCATTATCATATTATTAGTTTTTTTTTGTTTTAATTTCCTATTAGAAATTTTGATATATTTTATGTTTAGTTACAATAAATAAACTTTTAAATGATTGTGCAAGTTTTTATTTTTTTATTACGATACTTTTATCCAATACGCGTACTGAGTGCGCCGCGCGCCCGCTCGTGTTA